AAAAAAAAACTAGTTTGGGGAAAGAACTGTCAGAAAAGAAAGAATAATCCTAAAGGCTCATGAAGACCCAGAAGTAGTTCACATTCCTAGTGGAAACAGTGGAACGCCTCATAATTAATGGGACATTATGCAGAGTACTCTAAGGGCCTGGCTCAGCAGAAAGGAAAAGTTAGTCATAGATTAAAGGCAGTTGCTCTGCTCGAACATAATGAAGCTCAAAGGCAAAATTTAAAAGGATCAAACTGCTTCAAGTAACTTCAACTGCATCTCAGCTCAAGAATGCGTACAGAAATACAAAAATGTCCAGCATTCTCCAAAGTAGAATGCACAATGTCTGGCATCCAAGACATGAAAAGGCGTAGTAAAATATGATTCATAATAAAAATTCAACTGACATCTATCCCAAAATGAAAAAGATGAGAGAACTGGAAAAGTGGTATATGAAAATTATAACAAGATTCTGAATGTTCAAGAAAGTAAAGATTGAAAATGTTAGGCAGAGATAAAAAGACCAAATCAAACTTCTAGAGATTAAAAACTATAATGTCTGAGATTAATATATATAGTAATATATATAATATATATATTAATTTTGATGTTTCAAATAAAGTCGACTTTAAGACAAAGATAAAAAGATAAAGAGAGGAATACATAATGACAAATGGATCCATATTATCAGGAGGACAATAATCATGAATATACAAATGCCCAATAATAAGAGTTTCAAAATACATCAAGCAAGAACTGGTAGAATTAAAGTAAGAAACAAAAATTTTACAATCATGGTTGGAGATTTTAATATCTTCTCCCAGTCATTTATGGTATAACTAGACAAAAATAATTCAATAGGACATATAAGATATATAGTAGTCATCAGGAAACATTTTCTGGAAAGGGTTAGATAGTAAATACTTTGGGTTCTATAGTTCTAGAATCTCTGTCATAACTACCCAACTTTTCTGTTGTACAGCTAAGGCAGCCACAGAAAAATAAGGACATGAATGATTATGGCTATATACTTCAAAAAACTTCATGTACAAAAACAGATAGCAGTCCAGATTTTGCCTGTTGACTAATATTCACAGAACTTCACACCTGACAAGCGCAAAATACACATTCTTTCTAAGAGCACACATTATGTTCACCAAAATAGTGCCTATGTTGGGACATAAAATAAATCTAAATAAATTTTAAGACTAAAACATAATAAGAGCTATTCTCTGAATACTATGAAATTAAATTTGAAATCCATAACAGAAAGATATCTAGGAAAAAACTACAAATATCTAGAAAGCAAATTTTTCTAAATTAGAAAATACTTTGAGGGGCTGGGGTTGTGGCTCAGTGGTAGAGTGCTCGCCTATCATGCATGAGACAACTGGGTTTGATCCTCAGAATCACATAAATGTAAAATAAAGATATTGTATCCACTAAAACCTAAAAAATAAATATTAAAAAAATACTTTGAGATGAACAACACAGCAAAATTTGGGAAATGCAGCTAAAGGGGTGCTTAGAGAAAAGTAGGCAGCTTTATTATTTACATTTAAAAGCAAGAAAAATACAAAATTAATAGAAGCATAGTAAACCCAAATTATAAGGAAGAAATAAAAAATATAAATCAATAAAATGGAAAATGGGTAAAGAATGGAAAACAATTAACAAGCATGGAAGTTGGTTCATTGTTGGTATAACTGTTCTGGAAAAACTGGCAATTCCTCAGAAGGTTAAACATTAAGTTACCAAATGATTCATCAATTTCATTCCTAGGTATATAAATAAGAGAAATGAAAACATGTGCACACAAATGTGTACATGAATGTTCACAGTAACATTATTTATAATAGTTAAGAAGTATAAACAACACAGATGTCCACCAAGTGATGAATGGATAAACAAAATGATACAAAGAAATACTATTTGTCAATAAAAAGGAATGCTACATAGATGAATCTTCAAAACATCATACTAAATAGGAAGAAAACGCAAAAAAACCAAATATTCTGATTTCATATAAATAAAATAAAAAACTTCAAATAAATAAAATATTCTGACTTCATATATAAAAAGCAAATCTGTATGCACAGAAAGTAGATTAGCAAATTGCCCAGAGTAGGGGAGTTGGAAAGAAAATATGCATGGAATTTCTTTTTTTGGTTGTTGTTGTTGTAAATGGATACAATATCTTTATTTATTTATTTTTATGTGGTGCTGAGGATCAAACCCAGTGCCTCACACTTGCTAGGCATGTACTCTACCATTGAGCGTACTCTACCACTAGGCATGTACTCTACCCCAGTGCCTGGAGTTTCTTTTTGAAGTAATGAAAATGATCTGAAACTGAGGTATACCACTCCACGAATATAAAAAAAAAAAACAACACTAAATTTAAACACTTTATATGGGTGAACTGTATAATATGTGAATTACATTTCAATAAAGGTATTATTTTTTATATTTATTTCTTAGTTTTTGGTGGACACAACATCTTTATTTTATTTTTATGTGGTGCTGAGGATTGAACCCAGTGCCCCACGCATGCCAGGCAAGTGCACTACTGCTTGAGCCACATCCCCAGCCCCAAATATTTTTTTTAAAAAAAGGTTTGTTCTGTTCTTGAAAGTCTTCTGGAAATTTGAGATTATTTAAAAAAATTAGAATTTTTTAAAAAAAGTCATACACTGGGGAGTGTATGACTTACATTAAAGTCTTCAATGTATTTAATATATATATTTTCCTTATCAAAAAATTTAATAATTCTATATTCATAAGAGCAATGTTGAATAAAACTGATTCTATGAGTTAATTCCATACAAAAAAGGATGCTACCAGTTACTCCCTGCCCCCTGTTATTAAACAACCACAAAAGCTCGTTTTCTGACAAAATAAGTAAAAGTTTGTCACCTCAACTCTGAATTTCTTGTAGAAGTATTTTTTATTAGGAGAGCTGATGATCCTTTATTCAGGCCTGAAGATGTCTACTCATGTAAGACTGGACAAGCAAGATTTCCACAAAAAATATATGTGTGCCACACCTAATTAAATGCCATGGAAGGCTCAAGCTCATCTGCTCAATAAATCCACTCTCACAGCCAGACTAATGTAGTGTGACAAGCAAGCAGGTCACATGGTGTTTTGACTTAATTTATGAATAGTTTTAGTGCCTGTATTAAGTTTTGAGATCTTACCTGACTTCAAATGAGCTGAATAACAAAAAGAAGCCAAAAGAAGAAAGACGCATCACTGGACTTTATCGAAATTAAAATAAACTCAGGATACATATCTGCCAAATAATTTGTACACTTTATGTAAAGAATTCTTAAAAAGAAACAATAAGAAACAGCCCAATTTTAAAGGGCAAAAGACTTAAGCAGATAGTTCAAAACAAACTTCAAAGATAAGCCTTTAAAAACTATGCTATTTTGAAATTTTCAGTGAATAGGGCACTGAGATATATTTTTTAAATGGATATGATTTAATATCTTGTTTTGAAGTAATAAAAAACACATTTTGCGGGCTGGGGCTGGGGCTCAGCAGCAGAATGCTTGCCTAGCACGTGTGAGGTACAGGGTTTGGTCCCTAGCACAAAATTTTTAAAAAAGTAAACAAAAATAAAGGTCTAAAAATGTTTAAAAAAAACCACACACTTTGCTTTTAATTACATAAAACACATTTTCTCATGCAATAAAGGTTTAAACTGGCTGAAAATAAGATTCACTAAAAACTGTTATTACCTAATAAATGTGAGCAGTCATTAGATATTATCTGTGCATTTTGAAATCAAAATTTCCTACTGTGCAAGTTTTGGGAAGATTTAACTCAAGAAGTAACATTCTAGTATCACTTATCTACATGAATCAGAATTTTACTACAAATGTAGAAATAAACTAGGTGTTCAAGAAGATATAAGATATAAGACAAAAATTGTCTTATATAAGATATAAGACAAAAATTGTCATTCATAGTTCCCAACTGCAAAATCCCTGGCTTCATTAAAAGAGGTTATAATTTTTATTGATTGACTTATACTCTAAAGGCTTTCTGGCAAACAATATGAATTTACAAAGTCAAGTAAATAATAAAATAATGATGGGAATATAGCTCTTGCGTAGCATGCGCAAAGCCTTAAGTTGAATTCTCAGCATTGTATATATACACACAAAAAGTAACAACAATAACAATAATAAAATGCTACTTTTGTAAGTTTCATAGTTAATGTTATGATATGATTTCATTTAATGAAATGTTCTGCTGGTCTGAAAAATTTGAAAAATAATTCTGGTTTAAAAACTATTAAACATTTTATTGAGATCAAGAAATCTGCAGACCTTGTAGGAAGGAGACATCCACACTGGGCATGGCAAACTGCTCTGAAACATTTAGTAAGGTATAAATCACTGAGATTATTGTTCAACAAATACATACAGTGCTTATCCCCACAGAATTCTGCATGGCATATTTTATGGCAATACTTACTGGTGCTACTATTTTTCCTGTCTGACCAACTTGCATGTCATTGGGAACAAAGCCAGCATCAACAGCAGCACGGGAAGCACCAACTAAGGAGGGAAAAAGGGTAATTTTTTTTCAAGCTTTATTATTTACCTAGTGATATATTCAACAATTGCAAACAAAGACATTAATAAGTTAGAAACATCTATTATAAAGGACTTATTTTTGAGAAAATCCCTGTCATGAGAATTCTAAATACTAATAGTACATTTTCCAAGAAAATACCTTCTACTTAATACACACAAATTTCAGATTTTGAATTTGACTTCTTTTGCTTGCTTTATCAAAAAGGCATTCATAAAACCTATATTATAATCCTATAGGATGTCACTATATAATTCTCCTTTAAAAAGTAATAACTTTAATAAGTAATAACTTCACAACTTTTGAATAAAGGTACTAAAATATTAATATCTCTTATGACCAGATGAAGAATTCTATATAACACAGGATAAAAGTTTAACCAATGCTTGCTCTCAAATAAGCAAATAGAAATTTAACTGGTTTTCTATCCTTAGTCAATAGGAGTCAACAAGGAAACTTATCCTTAGAGTAAAACCACTCCTTCCCTCTGTAAGAATCAAGGATGAACCTCAGGCCTCTTCATCACTGGCTGGAGAGGACAAGAGGGAGCAATAGACAATATAACTCACTACCCCCATCACTCTCAGGCTCACCACCACTCTCTCTCTAAAGTCAGCCAGGACTAATCACATCCTGCCCTTTACTTAAGACATCCTGCAAGAAGCCCCAGACTAGCCCAAGACCTTCATAATTCCTACACAGCTCCTTGTAGCACTTTTCAAGCTCCCTAATCTGCAGGCATCTTTTATTCCTCCTCAATTCTAGGAACCCAGAACTGTGATTTCTGAAACTCATCCCAATATCAGCAAGCCAAAATTCTTTTTTTTTTCTTCTGTTCTAACTAAAACATACATATTCCCTGAGGACACCAACTTCCCTGCAATCCTCTCCAGCTGAGATAGCTTTGTCTGCCATCACCTTCATAACACTGGGCCTGAAGGTGGGACTTAGAAAATTCTTCCTCTTTCCACCATAAAAGCCTTCAGCTGTGAAGCTCATGTCATCAGATTATGCCACCCTTTACTACTGTGTCATTGTCTATCAACCGTACATAGGTCAATCCCCTTCATTTTACAATGACTATTCTGGGTAATTATTATCCTCTGCAACCATCTCGATTTCACTGATTTTCTGTATTGGTTTCCTGTTTTCAATTTCACCCATTTATACTCTAATTTTTATTTATTATTTGTTTCTGCCTACTTTGGATTTGATTTGCTCTTCTTTTTCTTGTTTCTAAAGGTAGAAGCTCTGATGAGTGGTTTTTATAGCTTCTAATATTTGCATTCAGTACTATAAAAGACCTTCTCAGGACTACTTAGTCACATTTTGATGTCTTCATTTTACTTAGTTCAAAATATTTAAAAATATCTCTGGATATTTCTTCATTTATTCCTGTGTTACTTAAAAATGTGTTCTTCCACCTTCAGGTATTGAGGATTTCCCAACTAGCCTTCTGTTATTAATTTTTAGTTAAAATTCACTGTAGTTTGAGAACAGACATGGTGTGGTCTCTATTCTTAAATTTGTTAAGGTGTAATTTACAGCTCAGAATGTGGTTTACCTTGGTGAATGATCTATATGAACTTGAGAAGAGTGTGTTGTTGGATGAATCTACAGATAACAATTATATCCAGATGATAGATGGAATTGAATTCAACTGTACCCTTAACTGATTTTCTTGCCAACTAGCTTTGTCCATTTCTGAAAACAGGCTGAAGGTTGAAGTCTCCAACATCTATTTCTCCTTAAATTCTATCAGTTGAGGGGGTTTGTCCTTTTGATTTTTTTTTTTTTTTTGGTACTAAGGATTGAACCCAGGTCCTCATATATGCTTAAGCAAGCATGCTGCCAAGCACTCTACTACTGAGCTACATCCCCAGGTCTTTTTTAAAATTTTATTTTGAGACAGAATTTCATTTGCTAAGTTGCCCAGACTGGCTTCAAATTTGAGATTTTCTTGCCTCGGCCTCCAAATTAGCAGGGGTTACATGTATGCAACACCAGGCCCAGCTTAAATGCATTTTTAAAAAATATTTATTTTTTAGTTGCAGTTGGACACAAGACCTTTATTTTATTTTTATGTGGTGCTGAGGATCTAATCCAGCACCCCACGTGTGCTAGGCAAGTGCTCTACCATAAACGCCACAGTCCCAGCCCCCTTTCTTAGCTCTTAATCTTACAGTGTCTATGGCTTAGTTTTGGTAATGCCTTTTTTTTTTTTTAATTGACATCCACTCCCTGATTTTATCCAATCTGGTGGCTTTAAATACCATCAAAATGTCACCAATTCCCAAATTTATAACACCAGCCCAAATTTCTCCAATGAACTTCACATTCCTATACCAAATGATTAACTGACATCTCTATATGTCTGTCTTAGACATCTCAAAATTTGATATGCCCAAAACTGAACTCATGATCTCTCTTTCTGGAAACTCTTCCACTTGTGGTTTCCCCATCTCAGCTAATCGCAACTAACTACAGCCTATCAACATCTAGGATACTTTCTCTCATAATCCAAATCTGATCTGTTGGGAAACTCTGATGGCTCTACCTTCAAGTATATATATCCAAACTAGCTATTTCTCTTCATATCTACTGCCATTATTCTGGTCCAGTAGCCTATCAGTATCTCTACCTCCTAATTTGATCTCTCTGTTACTACATTCATCCCTCTACACCTTATTCTCAAGATTGCAGCTGAAGTGATCCTTTTAAAATGTATTTGGGGCTGGGGCTGGGGCTGTAGCTCAGTGGTAGAATGCCTGCCTCGCACGTGTAAGGCACTGGGTTTGATACTCAGCATCACATTAAAAATAAATAAATAAATAAAGATAAAATTTTTAAAGAAAAAAAATTTTTAAAATACATTTGCTCATGTTACTCTTCTACTCAAACCTTCCAATAGTTCCCCATTTTATTCAGAGAAAAGCAACCTCTTACAATGGCCTATGATGGCCCTGAGTGATCTAGCCCCACTATCACCTCCCAATCTTATATCCTATTACTTTCTCTTTTGCATTTTAAATTCCAACTCTGGACTCCTTGCTACTCACCAAACAGGTCAGATTTTTCCTACCTTTAACAGGCTTTTTACATGTTACTGGTCCTCTACCTAGACTATCTCCCTCAGAGGTGCTCATAGCTACAACCCCAGCCCACATATTCACTTCTTAATCCCCAGAATTTGTCAATCTTAAGTAGGTGGCAGCAGGTAAGATATAAAGTTCAGGATTGGGACAAGGAGCTTATCCTGGATTATCTAGGTGGGCCCAAGATGTACATGTACACTAATAACAGGGATGTAGATAAAGACCCAGATGCATAGAGAAAGTGATATGAAGACAGAAGCAGAGATTGGAGTGATGTTGCCAGTAGCCCAGGAACACTGGGGCAATGACCAGAAGCTGGAAAATAAGAAATTATCTACCCCAGAAAAAAGAGAGTCTCTATGGGGGAGTATGGCCTTGACAATACCTTGATTTCAACATACTCCTGGCCTCCAGAACAATGAGAGAACAACTTTGTTATTTTAAGCCATCAACTTTGCAGTAATTTGTTACAGTAGCCAGAAGAAACTAATACAGGGTATGTCTTATCCAAATAGAGACCTAATTTCCACAAGGGCAGATACTTTTATTTATTTTGTTCACTGCTATTTTCTTAGGTCCTAAAATAGTGCCAGCCTTATGGCAAACATTTAATAAATATTTGTTCAATGCAACAATGAATGAAATAAACATCCTCAACACCAAACTGGTTATAAAGAATCAGGATTAAAGCAATTATTATTTTGATGGGTATGTATATATTACATAAGGAAAGCATAGAAAAACTGTAAATTATCCATGAAATCCTTAAAATGTGAGAAAGAGATTTTTTTATAAAATAAGGTAAATTCATATGGTAATTGTATAATTTAAAACTAATGAAATATTTTAGATTTTTCAAAAAAAATTCCATCTCATTGATGTACTTTTAATAAGTCTTTCTTTTCTGTAAATAATTAATGATAATTCTGAAACAACTTTAAATGTTCTTCTATTTGTGTATTAGACTACCCAAAAGATGATATAACAAAAAATTCCTGAATCTGTATCAGGCACTGAAAGTGACCTTTCAGTATTTTAAAAGTGAAAAACAAATAAATGAACTAGTAAGATTTGGCAAATGTAAGAATAAAAGTACTAGGACATCCTCTTCTCACTGAATTCTAGATCATTTATTGGAAGGCCTAAGAAAAACTATTTCAGAGAAAAAAAACCTGAAAACCACAGAAAATAAAATAGCTTGGAGCTGTGAGTCACTTATACGTAAATGAGTAATAAAGAAAAATGTTTCCAACAAAAAGGCAATATCATTCTACTGAAAATAACTTTACCTGCAGCATGAAGTTGATCTGCCAAGTCATACAATAGCTTAAAATTTTCTCCACTCTTCAAACCCCGACCTCATTTAAAAAAAGAATTAAAAAAATACAGTAAACACAAACTCTGTTCCATAAAAATTTCGATATTTTTGCATACCTGAATAAATTTTCAAATTATATAATTGCTATATTATGCAAACCATGTCCTCTGTAAAACCTTTTCTGACTTCTATGACACCGATATATTTCTCCTACAAAGTATTCAATGCTGCTACAACTAATTAGCTAGTTAAGCAACAGAGTAATCTCCAATATCTATTCTTCCCACTAGAAAGAAAACTCTTCAACTTCAGGTTCCATATCTGTCTAGGTTACTACTATATTTGCAGTATTTGGTAAAATTCAGTATGTAGTATTCAATAAATATATTCTGAGTGACTGAATGAGGTTATTTGTTTGTTTTTTTTTTTTTTCAATACCGCACCTTTCAACAGGCAATTCCATAATGAATGAGGTTATTTGGATGGAAGTCACCCACTAAAGTTTAAACTCTTTGAGAGTAAGAACACTTTGCCATGACATTTTTATTTCTCCAGGCATTTTCTACAAGCCAGGCATAGAACAAATACTTCATAAACATTTCCTGAATATGTAAGTGAATAAATAGGTCAAATATATCTTTTTCAAAAAATTAAATTTTTCTTCTCAATGTCACTTGCAATAGAAAGGTATCTGGGAGACTAATTATTTTGTTTGATGTTTAATTTGTAAAGATTTTAAAATCACAGTAGTTACGGCTGGGGTTATGACTCAGTGGTAGAGCACTTTCCTAGCATGTGTGAGGCACTGGGTTCGATCCTCAACACCACATATAAATAAATAAATAAGGTACATCAACGAATTAAAAAATATTTTTTAAAAGTCCTTATTTTTTTCAAAATGTCAGGCTATAAAATTTTTTTTTAAAAAAAGGAGCATAATATACAAAAAGAAGCAAGTCTTGTGCAATATTAAGTTTTGATATTAAACATGAAGAACCTTTCATAGTGTTATAACAAAGACCTAAACAACCCTGGAAGTCCTTTGAAAGCAGAATGAAGGAGCAGCATTATATGCAAAATGGCAATGAGGGTCCAACAGTTTTTCTATGATTCAGAAGCCAATCATGCACTGCAGAATAACATGGAAGTCTATCAGTAAGACAAAGTATTAAGTGGCAAAGTTAGAGATGAGATTTGTACCATGCTCCCCCTGGTGCCAATGACATAGATGTGCAACAGAAAATCCAAATTGTGTATTAAGCTCATAGTTTTATTTTCCTAATTGATAAAATGGGAACAATACTTGCAATATCAGCTTCTTACATTTAGAGGGGGAAAAAAACCCCTGCTCTGCTTTAAAATAACTACTTTAAAAAATTAAAATATTGCAAAGTTTAGTCATCTTCTAAGATTAATATTGTACTTACCACCAGACACCACTACTTTGGCACCAGTTAGCTCTGGTCGATCACTTTTCGTTAATTTCTGGTCAAGCCACTCTGACACTCCCACTGGCGAAGTACTTGATGCTACATACATTGATACATATGATAAAAAAACTGATAATAATTTCAAGTCCTAAAATAATTATTTTTAAGAGAAACACAAATATATAATTCCATGAAATTTAAGTTTATTAATTACTCTGAATTTTCTGTGTTCTTAAATTTCATTTTATTTGATTATGAAAAGTCTTAAGAGGACAAGATTCTAGGCTTTGCCTCATTAGCTATAAAAAAAATCATTTAATTCTCTGAGTTAATCTATAAAAATCAGAAAAATCTCTCTATGGGGTTCAAATAAGACGCTATCTATGATAAAATGCACCCCCATGTATTTGCCATTATTACATTATTCTATTATATTGAATCATTCAAATATTATAATTAGAAATAGTGAGAAGAAAGTAAAAAGTCATGGGGCTGGGGTTATGGCTCATCAGTGGAGCACTTGCCTAGCATGTGCGACCGCTGGGTTCAATCTTTAGAAGAAAGGAAGAAAGGAAGAAAGAAAGAGTAAAAAGTCCTAACATCAATGTAAGAAATTAATCTTGATAGACCTCCTCTTTCACTCTCTTGATCTACCAAAGCACTATTTTAGTACCAAACATGATGTGAAAAAGACATAATTGTTTCTTATTTTTGTATAACCTTGGGAATATCATTTAGATATGACTTTTAAGAACTCTGTATTAGCAATTTAACAAGAAGTCATCTCTTATCTAATGGAATCTATGAACTAAAAAACAAGGAAAAAAAATAGTTTCTTATGGGGTTAGAAATGTAGCTCAGTGATAGAATGTAGGCCATGAGGCCCTGGATTGAATTGGGGTTGGGGGGAATCACTCACCCTTTTCTGAACTGGCACTACCTCCACTTGTTGCTGCAGCTTCAAAAGATGTTCCTCGGACAGAAAACACCTTCACTTTCTCATCACACTTCACTGTACATAAAGCATTTCCTGAAACACACAAATTATTTTTTTGAAAGCAACCACAAAAGGTAAAACACAAATATTCCTTCCAGGCTCAGAATTTACTTCAGAAAGAAAAGACGATAAATATATATGAACCAGTTGTTTTCTATCTCTAATAAGTAGAGGAAAAAGAGGACTATAAGACTGAAGAGGGCTGGGGTTGTAGTTCAGCAGAAGAGCGCTCTCCTAGCAAGGCTCTGGGTTCGATCCTCAGCACCACATAAAAATAAATAAATAAATAAAGGCATTTTATCCAACTACACCTAAAAAAAAAAGGACTGAAGAAATAGCTGGGCATGGTGGCACATGCCTGTAATCCCAGGGACTTGGGAGGCTGAGGCACAAGGATTGCAAATTCAAGACCAGCCTCAGCAACTTACTGAGGCCCTCAGCTACTTAGTGATACTTTATCTCAAAAAAGAGTGAAAAAATGTATCAGTGGATATCAGTACAACTCCTATTGTCTTTAAAAACAGGACAGGTGCTGACAGCCTGGAAGCAAGAAATTGAAACACTGGAATAGTCACTAAGAATATAAACAAACAGGAGGGGCTGGGGTTGTGGCTCAGCAGAAGAGCGCTCGCTTAACACGTGTGAGACCCTGAGTTCGATCCTCAGCACCACATTAAAATAAATTTAAAAATAAAGGTATAATACCTTTGTGTCCAACTACAACTAAAAAATAAATATAATTTTTAAAAAGAATATGAACAAAAAGAAATATTGAACAAAGCTTCTTTCTCTTAAAAACACACATTCAGTAACTTAAAAATATGAGCTGAAACAACTTAATGAGATTGTAGCTGCTATGCAGGCTGAAGGAGGATATATATATATATATATATATAACACTTTAGGACATAAAAAACAAGTTCAGATGGACCAAGATTTTAAAAGGATTTAAGACATTTCTTATGGATTAACAATCACATTTAGAATTACCTAAACAATGATCAAATATTTGCTCTCAAATGTTAGTAAAGATGAAAGGTCTGATTTGAGAACTGACCATTTACACAGAAACATACAAGTTTGATCAGATGGAACAAAGAGTTCTCCGTCTTCTCCAACCCCACCAGAGACCAGTGTGCTCAGTAAAAGATCAATCAACTAAACAGGCACTGAAATGAATTTCTTAATGTACATGGAAATGGAGTAGGAAAAGCAAAGAAGATTGAGAATGCTATTAAAAAAAAAAAGTTTTGCTTTCTCAGATGTCACTTATAAAACAAATTGAATCTAATTCTTATTGACTACTGGGAAAAAATCTCATTCTGCAAACTGAATGGGCAGGCAGGAAAGCACTGGGATCTCAGAGAAAATGCCATGTCATGAGCCAGCAGCAATGCTAGACTAAGACGATCCATTTAAAGCATAGTATGGCTTTAGAACACATCTTCAAGACTTGTTTATACTTTTTAACTGAAATTTAACATGTTGATTAATTATCTTTCTTGGGAACTCACCTGCATAAATAGTTCTCACAAATGTGTCAGGTGACTTGATTGCAATGATGTCAGAAATTGGGGCAACATCAAGTTTTGCTGCTATTCTGGGCAGAAGGTTCTAAAAGGAAAATGAGCTGTGAGTTACACACATACATACTGGTGGATGGCTATAATTATGAGCCATGACATCTTCCAAATATATATTCAGTAGAAATTTAAATCAAATATTTCATATTTTACATGCATATTTGCATATACTACATTGTCAAGCACAGCTTTTTGGTTAGACTTTGAAAGCAAGTGACTGCCTACCATTACTCTAACTGGAGTTGTATGCATCTTACAGCAGTAAGTCAACTAAATTCAGTATGTTAAATTATGACTATTTGCTTTAATAAATATCGAAGTGTGACAGTTATGGATCACTGAATTTAGAAAAATTTAGAAGAATCAAATTTTCAAATACTTGAAAAGACTATTCTTGGATTTATTTACTAATGGATATGAGAGAAAATATTTCAGCAGACATTTCACCTGTTTTTGAAGTTATGATTTCATAAAAAGATCAAAACAAACCTGAACCAAGTAGCCTATGTATTATATATAAAAAAGAACAACAAAACACAAGTATATATCTGGAATTAGTTAACATCTCTGGAATTAATACACGTGCTAATTTTTCTCTCACTGGTCAGGATCTTTGTGAAAGTCATGATCTCTCCAGGCCTCAGTATCTTCATCTCATAACGAAGATAATCTCTACACTTCTACTTTAAAGCTCTATGACCTAAAGCTCTAAAACAAAAGTTAGTTAATGAAGAATGAATCCAGTACTTTATGGATTCAAGGTTCTTTTGTGTATGTAATTTTTTTAAAGTGAGATGCTATGATTTGATTATACAAATAGAAAAGCTGAACCATACACTGATTTCCCCCAAATACCTTAGTTCTTAATTCTTGAACTTGGCACAATACTGCACTGAGTGGGCACAATCTCAGTATCATCATTCAAGTTCCTCTCTGTTCTCTAACAAATCTCCCAGTACTGTCCTGTAATTACTACTTTACTCTGCCTCCTTTCACATGCATGTAAAATTACACTATATTAAGTGGCCCTAACATGCATTTTATTTTAGAATAATTTTAATATATGGTTTATATTATCCTCAAATAGATTTATGGGGCTGTGCCTTCTATTTCTCATGTTCCTCTCCCATATCTAACAAGTGGTTCTCTATAAACTGATGATAACAAGGGTTGACAGAATGAGTTAATTTCCCTCCTGCTATTTTTCCAATATGAGAGGTTTTCTAATTTCCATTTTATCATTACCTATATTACACAGTAAATTTCTTACAACTGTAAAAAAAAAAAAAAGAGCTACTGAGAAGTATCTTAATTTGTAAAACCTCAATGAGAAAAAAATTAAGATCTCACAGAAAAAAAAAGTTTGGGAAAACAATTAAAGTGCCATTAAATGTAGTTCTAATTTGGTTAAATGAAAAGTTTTAGAAGACATTTACTTTTTTCATTTTTTAATATTTATTTTTTAGTTATAGGTGGACATAATATTTTTATTTTATTTTTATGTGGTGCTGAGGATCGAACCCAGTGCCCCATGCATGCCTCACTAAGTTGCTAGGGCTGGCTTTGAACTCATGATCCTCCTGCCTCAGCCTCCTGAGCAGCTAGGATGACAGGAATGCACCACTGTGCCTAGCTAGACTATACATCTTTTAAAGTTTTAGAACTTTCTTAATTGCTTGAAATGCAATATCTTTTGTATTTTAAATGTTCTTTGTTTAAAAAAATCATCCTGGTGCTTAAAATCATGTTTTTCTGGATCTGTCTTCTATCTAAATACCTGAGAGTGGATGGAATATGGATAAAACTATCTCTTTTTTAAAAGTACACTGACTTTTTATAGAGTAGGTTTGACCACATGGCTCCTGAGAAGAAAAAGAAAAAAGTGTTCTTTCCTTAAACAAAAAAATGAGATCCTAAAAATTCTAGCATACCAATATAAAAGTGTATCACCTTAAAGCCATAGTTGGTGTTATAATTTTGATCTTAAATGTCCCACAAAGACATCTGCTGAAGGCTTAGTCATCAGCCTGTGGCAGTATTGTGAGGTGGGAGAACCTTTAAGAGGAAAATTGTTGGGGTTGTGCCCTTGAAAAACATATTGGAACCCCTACCTGTCCTTCTTTATCTTTTTAAATCCTAGCTGGCAGTTCTGTCCCACAGTGTGATCCCCACCAAAATGTTCAGCACTATGACAGGCCCAAAGGGACTGGGTCAACAATCAGAGATGAAATCTCTGAAACCATAAGCCAAAAAAATCATTCTTCCTTTTAAGTTGATTTTCTCAAGTATTTTGTCACAGCAACAGAAAACTATCAGTTGGTAAAAGAACATAACAGATCTATTTAGCTTCTTCTAATGGACTCTTTTCTCCTTCCAAGCCCATTTACAGTCTGTGGTATCAGCTTCTATTATGTGATCCTTATTCTCAAAACTCCCACCTGTCACAACACACTAGTCAAAGCCAGAGGATTAAAAACTAGCTACCAAGACACAAAAAAACACCCTTGCTTGGTCTATTTTGTAGGTAAACTGTCATCACAGAAACTCAAGATTTATAAAGTTCTTTAAATCATCCAACATAGCAACAATACTCTCAGAGATAGAATGGTCCACAGAGATCTTTTCACTCATCAGGTAGGGGCAGGGGAAGTGTTAAAATGTGTAATAGCAAGTTTTGGCAACTTAACTACATATATACACATATATATACACACATATGTATATATGCGTATGTGTATGTATGTGTATATATATACACACACACACATACACACACACACACACACTAAAATACAGAGTTCTTAACCCACCTATTTCACTTCTAGAACTCTATTCTAAATAAATACCAGTGCATGTATTCAAAGATGATTGCACAGAGATGTTTCCTTGCAGCAAAGTCTGTAAATGCAAAGGACCCCCAAAAATCTAAGTATTCTTGGTTAAATATGGAATATTGATACAGCCACTTAAAAAAACAAAAACCCATACACATTATGAGCTTATATTTTCAAGACATACTCTTAAGTTAAAACTACTAGTCACAAAATACTTGGTGCTTTATTATCCATTTTAGAAGCAGAACTATATCTGAACATGTACAATTTTTAAATCTATAGAAAGAGACCTAAAACAATGCATAATTGCTAACAGTTATACTTCTAAAGAGGGAAGGATGAATTGGGAATAAGAAGATGGGACTCTCAAGCTTGGTGCTGCAGCACACAACTGTAATCCCAATTACTCAGGAGGCTAAGGCATGAACATCACAAGTTTGAGGCCAGCCTCAACAATTTAACAAGGCCCTAAGCAATTTAGAGAGACTCTGTCTCAAAACAAAAAAAGGCTGGGGATATAGCTCATGGTAAAGTACCCCTGCATGGTTCAATCCTGGTATCAAACAAAAAAGGAAGGTGGGACTTCATACCTTCCTTTCCATACTGCTATCCTATGTGCACCCTTTCTATGAATGTATTTGTGTATAACTTACTATTTTTTTAAGATTATAAACTACAGTTTAATGAAGATAGAATAAAAGAAAAGGGAGCTAAGATGATACGTGGCCAGAGAGAACAACAAAAATCCATGAACAAATTCTTGTTCTTCTGCTCCCCCCTCCCTTCCTCCTCCTCCTGTTTTTTGGTGTTTTTTTTTTCCCCCTCGTAAGGATAAAGTCTTGCTACGTTGCCCAGACTGGCCTGAAAGTTTAATCCTTCTGCTTAGGCCTCCCAAGTAGATGGGATTACAGACACACACCACCATGCCCTGCTCTAAATATCCATCAGTCACACAAGTAAACCACTTTTTAAGATAGGTTACTAACAGGAATCTGCCTAGTGCCCATTAACAGATGAATGGATAAAGAAAATTTGATATATACATATACACATGGAGTTTTATTCAACTTTAAAGAAAAATAAAAGTATGTCATTTGTAGGAAAATGGAAACAACTTAAAAGCATTATGTTCAGCAAAATAAGCAAAATTCAGGAGTCAAGTGTCTTATTTTCTCTCATATGTAGATGCTAGAGAGGAAAAAAGAAAAGAAGTGAGGGTGTCTTATGAAAAGCGAAGGAAGATCAATAAAGTAGAGGAAAGGGACCAGGAGGAGGAAGAAGGGAAAGGAAAGGGGAAATATTGTGTGCATGTATGCATATATAATAACAAATCCCACCATTATGTACAACTATAATGCACCAAAACTAAATAAGGAACTTGGCATGGTGGCACATTCCTTTAATCCCAGCAACTCTGGAGGCTGAGAAAGGAGGATTACAAGTTCGAAGACTTAGCAAGACTAAGCAACTTAGTGAGACACTGTCTCAAAATAAAAAATAAAAAGGGCTGAGACTGTAGTTCCATGGCTGAGCACTCCTGAGTTCAATCCCTGGTACGAAAATATATGGTGAAAAAAAGATGGGTCACTAATAGAAACAACACACACATACACACACACACACACACACACACACACACACACAGAGAGAGAAATGAACTGTTTTTCAACTATTTTAAAACAAAAATAATTTAACAATGGCCTTAATAGAGTTTTCTCCAAGGCAAAATTTAAAATCGTAGAGTAGCATTCTCATATGACAAAATCTTGAGAGAACAAAAGAGATCTCTGTGACAAAATTTGAAAATATGTAAATGGCATTTTAACAGAAAATTTGACAAAAAATTTTAAAAGAATAAAGTGTAGCAAAAGTAACCCATTAATGTGGATAAATCTGGATCACCTGTCTAAACAAAGTCTGTTGTACATTTTTTAAAAATATTTTTTAGTTGTCAATGGACCTTTAAATTATTTATTTATATGCAGTGCTGAGAATAGAACCCAGTGCCTCACACATGCTAGGCAAACACTATACCACTAAGCCAAAACCCCAGCCCCTGTTATACATTTTTAACACAATGAAATCTAACTCTTTCAAGTAGGTGACATGAGACTCCACATTCCCAGTCTTCTCACCTTTCCAAAGGCAGATGCTCCAGCACAGATGTGTGTGTAATTGAATTGCTTCTGAGTTGCCAAAATCAGTGGTGTTAGTTCCTCTGAGAATTAAACACATTTGATAAAAAAGCATCTCATAATATTTTCACATTCATATAATCAAGCATAACTCACACTTTTCCAATGCAAAACCTCACCTGGAAGGAGGCCTTTGTAAGCATCATGCTGAGCCACCAGAACTTTTGCTACACCTGCTACTTTACAGAGATCTTGTGCCACCTGTGATTAAAAGATAAGTTTCTAATCATCCATCTATCAGAAATATCCAAATAGAGGCACCATCAACAGCATAAAATTTTAACAGTTAACTACAAAAATTATTCCTATTAAAAGAGACACTTAGGAATAAAACAAATGTTGTTGTTTTATTTTTTTTAATCCTTAAACAAAGAAAATCTTCTGCCAATTGATCTAAGTATTCACCTTACATAGACTTTTCTTTTTAAATATTTTTAGTTGTAAATGGACATGATACCTTTATTTTATTTATTTATTTTTATGTGATGCTGAGGATCAAACCCAGTGCCTCATACATGTTAGGCAAGTGTTCTAACACTAAGTCACAATCCCAGCCTCAACTTCTATCAACAAAGAATTTCAACAAAAATTCTACCTTGAAAAACAAAAGTACTAATTGATAAACCAAAATCAACATTGCTCTCTCTCATATTAATAACGCAGTCAATACATTTTAGAATTAGGGTTTCCTAAAGGTGAAAAACAAGTCTTAAACATCTTACTTTAAAATTCACTGCATTTTACTGGATATTAAAATTAATAAGATGAAAAACAAGACTTAAACATCTTACTTTAAAATTCACTGCATCTTACTGGATATTAAAATTAATAATGCTGAGCAACAAATAAAATCTTATAATACAGCCTACTGTCAACTGCTGAGTTCTGCCCACATACATATATTTATCTATAATAAAACATTTGTCATATTTTCTTTTTTAATTTTTCATTTTTCCTCTTTGGAATCAAGATAGGTTTCTAAGGAAGCTTTTTGGCACTCAGATTTTCTATATATAGAAGGCAATCAGAATTCTCCCTTTTAGTATCTTTAATACAGCAGGATCAGTTTCTGTTTATTAGAGTCATACCAGACATATTACCATCTGCTTGTATACCTCCAAGATGATTCAGGGATCCACTGACGAGTGGGCAAAAAAGGCTATGCCCCCTTCCCACTCTCAATGGTCCAACAATATTCAATGAAGAAAGAATGCAACACAAAAGTCCACCTTCTGAAAGTACACTATCTTGTACAGGAGGCCCATTATTATGGATGCATCTGTATTTAGCTTCTCTAATTTTAAGAGAATTTCTAATTACAAAACCAAGTTAATTCCAAAGTAGCTATAGCTCCCTAGAAATAAAATGGGAACAGAGTTTTCCTATCAAACCTTCTCCCTCCCTCCCTTCCTTCCTTCCTTCCTTCCTTCCTTCCTTTCTTTCACCCAGGATGTTTTCCCACTGAGCCACATCTCCAGCCCTTTTTAAAATTTTTTTTTTATTTAGAGACAGGGTCACATTGAGTTGCTTAGTGCCTTACTAAATTGCTGAGGCTGGCTTTGAACTTGCAATCCTCCTGCCTCGGCCTCCCAAGCTGCTGCACCACCATGCCTGGCTCAAATCTTTTTCTTTGGGTGGTGGGGGCAGGTACTGGGAATTGAACCCAGGGGCTCTCTATCACTGAACTGCATCCCCAGTCCTTTTTATTTTTATTTTGAAACAGGGTCTTGCTAAGTTGAGATCAAGTTTGAGATCCTCCTACCTCAGCCTTCTAAGTCATTGGGATTACACATCTGTCCTATCTTTTATCTTCTGGCACCTCACAAAAGAATCACTTTCTATTTATGATAAATAGCAAAAAACCCAAAAAAAAAACAAAAACAATACAAAGTTGAAATTTGCCTACATTATTCATGGTCATTTGTTGTTTTCTTTTGAGATCAGAACATGACATAACACTGTAAGTAGATATCATTTCAAATATCGTTAAGACAATATTAGAATAATATTTAAAATTATAGCAAGACAAATCCAAAATTTGTATGTATCTGAAAATTGAGTAAACAAAAAAGATAGTTCAGCCATATTGTCAGATGTTGTGGTTAATATCAACTATATAAGATTCAATAAATGTTAATAGTTATTAGGTAATGAGTCCACATTAACCCTAAACCTGCTAGGATACATTCTTTGAAAATACCAATTTCATATAAGAAATTACACTAGCATTCAGAACCTGAATTATCACATGCCCTGCATTGATAGTTTAGTAAAAAAATAAAATAAAATCGCCTAAGAAAAAACATACCCTGTCCAGATTTACTCTTCTAAGAGGTTCAAACTCTCAATCATCTACTTGGCTACTCCTTTAGAATATGAGAGGACTCAAATGGCATGAGAATACTGAAGTACTCATTTTCACAGCAGCTCAGTGCACAGACCCTGCAACCCACATTACAGCATCTTTCCTGAGGGTTGGTTTTCAAAGTTTTCATTATCTTATTTATAACAATGACAAGAACATTTTTTAGTACCAGCTATAATTTGGTAAGACTAATACATTTGAATTCTCCTACCAATTAAAAATTAACACCCATGATACTTTGTCAAGATTTACCACGTTCAGGAATTAGAAGCAATTAGTAAGTATATTCATCAACACAAAAAGGGATTGGCTATTAACCTTTAAGGGGACTCAAATATTATCATTCTACTTGGTACCTGATGGCATATGATGATGCCAGTGGAACTAAATCAAATATTCTACCTCATTCCAAAAGATAAAATGCTTAGTGAGCAAACCTTTTAGTTCCTTTTTCACACACAGTAATGGTTGTGACACTGGCCATTTAATGGGGATTAGAGCCCAGTTTGGGTTATAGTCCTCAGCATAATTCTCTGTTGCCATCTTTTCCTGTCTCTTGATGGAGATTATATTTGCTATGGCTGACCTTAAAAATTTCTCACCTTGTCACATTTGGTTCCAGCAACTAAGCAAGACACTTCACCTCCAAGATGTTTGGCTGCAGTGATGGTATTTAAGGTAATAGGTGCTAGCGAGTCATCTGCATGCTCAGCTATTACCAGGGTACTCTGAAATCGGAGCAATGAAGCCTAAAAAGGGGGGAAAAGAAAAAAGTTATTCATAGGGTTTTTTTTTTTACTCTAATTGTTAAGTTTCTGTGCTTTAAATAAAACTATTCTGTACTTAATACTCTGTAAATGTATTTCTGAAATACATTTATATCAATAGTAAAAACTGGGTTGTGTCTATCATTGTAATAATATTCTCACCTAATAAAAACTGAAATGCAGATAAGTTCTTTTTTATTTTTAGTTGTAGACGAACACAATATTTTTTATTTATTGATTGATTGTATGGTCTGAGGATCAAACCACACATGCAAGTCAAGCACTCCAGCACTAAGCTATAACTCCAGCCCCCCAGATGAGTTTTCTATTGCTAGAAAATGTTTAAAAATTATTTCAAACAATTTTGCCACTAGCCTATGTTCAATGTGTAACTGTTATATATACCTAAATTTAAAATCCTTAGATGGAAAATGTTAATCATCAGAGTAGGAACTGGTCAAATTCTACCACCAATTACACACTAAGGAGCACTATACTAAAGAATATAATAAGTTCAGAAATAAAGTGTTTGAAAACAACTACTAAAGTTGATTCTTTTTTTTTTTTTTTGTACCAAGGATTGAACCCAGAGGCACTTAGCCACTGAGCTACATCTCCAGCCCTATCTATTTATTTACTTATTTGTTTGTTTATTTTTTATTTATTATTTAGAGACAGGGTCTCACTAAGTTGCTTAGGGCCTCTTTAAGTTGTTGAAAATTGTTTTGAACTTGTGATCTTCCTGCCTCAGACTCTCAAATTGCTGGGATTGTAGGTATGTGCTACCACATTTTGCACTAAAGTTGATTCTTATTGCTTTTAGCAAAAAAGATTCAATACTAAAATTATAAAGGAAGTCTATTTTTAAAATATGACAATAGCCAGGCATGGTGGTGCACACTATAATCCCAGCAGCTCAGGAAACTAAGGTAGGAGGATCGAGAATTCAAAGCCAGCCTCAGCAACTTAGTGAGGCACTAAGCAACTCAGTGAGACCCTGTTTCTAAATTAAAAATACAAAAAAGGGTTGGGGTGTGGTTCAGTGGTTATGTGCCTCTGAGTTCAATCCCCGATACCAAAAAAAAAGAAAGAAAGAAAAGAAAAAAAATGACAATAAACAGCAATTTTACTGGAATTTTAACTGCTCAAATATGCCTCTGAATTAAAAAGAAATACTTGTAGATAGTAACCCTCATGCTCAAAGATTTCACAAGAAATAAGACTTATGCATGTACATTATACAATAGAAGAATTTTTCAAATAATGAAGAGAAACAAAATGAAGTCTGCTGATCATGAAATACAGTCAAGGGAAGGAAAGGAAAGAAGTTTAGGTGTTTCTGTCATGTGAAAAGATGAGGAAGGTCAGCACTACAAGCTTTAGAACTACCCTTGTGGAAAATGGCATTATGAAATGAGAAAATGGAACTGAGAATCAAATGGCACGGTTGTGTGGTTTAATTCAGCAAAAATTTTCAGCTCTGAAGTTGGAATAAAGAAAGCATAGTAAGGGCTGGGGTTGTGGCTCAATGGTGGAGGGCTTGCCTAGCATGTGGGTGAGACAATGGGTTCAATCCCCAGCACCACATAAAAAATACTAAATAAAGGTATTGTGTCCATCTCCAACTAAAAAATTTTTTTAAAAAAGAAAGCATAGTATGAAATTTACTCAAAGCTAGAAACTTACAAGGAGGGTCTGAAGGCAAGCCAGAAATAAGACAATGGATAATACTTGTTACACAACTAATATGCAGTTTTCATAAAATTATGCTTTTTTCATTTATTATATTATAAACATCAATTGCTATGTTATCATATTCTTCACCTTTTTTGTTTTCATAGTATATAGGCTTACCAGTGTAAGATCTGGATTATTCACAATATTTTCTTATTATAAGCAATGCAGAGAAGACAATCCTCTTAATTAAATGTTTATACTCAACCTCAACAGATGAAATTTCCTTCTGGTGTAGAACGGCCCTTCCTCTGACTGGAACTTGGCCAGTTTACTTATTCTGAAAACTTTGATTTCCTAAGCCAGATTCTGTCCAACCTGCAGCAAGATGGATACCTCATTTCCCTAAACTACTTATCCCTACCACTTCATCCCCAGCCTTCTACACTTGCTTTACCCCCAACGAACCAAGATCAAGGCTAGGGCCCAAGACCCTAGGACATGCAACAAGAGGTAGTAATGCTTCAGGGTCACACTACCCTGAGGATGGAAGAAGAAAGAAGACATCATAGCAGGATGCAGTCACTACATTGTGGTACCCGTAGATGTCTTTTCTTATCTTTTTCTCACCTTATTGTTTACTCAAAGGTAGCAAGGAAAGGACAGAAAATGAGAATTGCTTACTGCCAAATCAAGTTCCTGTTTATAGAACTTTTTTCTTTTTTTTACAAATAAAAAATTTCTAGTAAGAAAGGAGGCAGCTCAAATTAAAAATTAAAAATCTACGGGGCTGGGGATGTGGCTCAAGCGGTAGCGCGCTTGCGTGGCATGCGCGGGGCACTGGGCTCGATCCTCAGCACCACATAAAAATAAAATAAAGATGTTGTGTCCACCTAAAACTAAAAAATAAATATTTTTTTAATAAATTAGAAATCTTTATGCACATCTCAAGATTCCTTTCTTGCTGGGTGCAGTGGGACACACCTGTAATCCCAGCAACTCAAGAGGCTGAGGCAGGAGGATCACAAGTTCCAGGTCAGCCTCAGCAACTTAGCAAGGCCCTGTCTCAAAATAAAAAATAAAAAGGACTGGGGCGGTGGCTCAGTAGTAAAGTGCACCTGGGTTCAATTCCTAGTACCTTGCCCCCCCACAATTCCTTTCTTAAGACAAATTCCCAGAAATAGCTGATTAAGAAGAATAGGCAAGCTTTCAAGGCTTTTTATAAAGACTGATACAAATGGTTTGTCAAAACTGTATTAGCCAGGCCTGTAATCCCAGCACACAGGAGGCTGAGGCAAGAGGATCATAAGTTTGAGGCCAGCCTGGGCAACTTAGTGACACCCTACCTCAAAAATAAATTAAGAACTAGACTGGGGTTATGGCTTAGCGGTAGAGTGCTTGCTGAGCATGTGCAAGACTTTGGGTTCAGTCCTCAGCACCATATAAAAATAGTAAGTAAAATAAAGGTATTGTGTCCAACTACAACTAAAAAATTAAAATTAGTTAATTAATTAATTTAAAATGTCAACAGTGGAGCTCAATGGTAAAGTGACCCAGTGTAGGGATTAGGGGGTGTTTGCCAATTCATAAGAATTCACAATTTCTAGAATGGAAAGAAGTTCTTGGAAAGCAAATACCATACCTGTTCATTTTTCTAGGCTCAACATCTAATATAATGTTACTTTTAAAATTTACATCTGAAGAATTAATTATATATTTTTTCTCTTTTAATCAGAAGAGCACAATATAAAAGACTTTCTAATTAAGAACCAATAACATAATTTATGATTTGACTATTTCACAAGAATTGCTAGTAACTATTACCAATATATATCAGACATCATATTTTTTATTATGTATCACACATCATTTACTATAAAAATTATGAGATTTCCATCACCATTTGAAGAATAAATCCAAGATTTGGTGGCAGAGGGCCCATATTTGCTGAAAATTATAGTTCTATCATAAAATAAGTTGGGTAGTTCTCATAAGGAAGTGTGAGACTTTTTTAAACTTCCAGTGAGAGTTGCATATGCTTTTTAAAAGATTGTTCAAAATTCAATTTCTAAGTAAACAACAAAATAATATAGTTGAGAACCCTTTCACATCAGGTACAGTGGCATATGCCTATAATCTCAGTGATTCAAGAGGCTGAGTCAGGAGGATCACAAGTTTCAGGCCAGCTTCAGCAACTTAGCAAGACCCTGTCTCAAACAAAAAATAAAAAAGGACTGGGGATGTAGCTTGGTGGTAAAGCATCCCTGGGTTCAATCCCCAGTGACAAAACAAAACAAAACAAAAAGCCAACCCTCAGTTCATCTAGCAGATCAGATTTTTACTAAAAAACCTACATACGTCA